AAGCCAACTGTTTTAAAATGAAAGGGAAACTTAAAAGCTGACAAAATGAGATTCAGCTGGTACTAGACTCAATATGAATTATAGCAAGTGGTTTTTTTTCCCTAAGTTAAAGCAAAATGATCCCACAATAGGGCTTCATTCAAAATTAGGAAAGGTGTACTTCAAGGATGTATACTCTCACCACACTTATTTAACTTTTATGCAGAGTACACCATGAAAAATGTTGGACTGGATGAAGCACAAGCTGGAATCAAGACTGCCGGGAGAAATATCAATAACCTCAAATATGCAGATACCACCACCCTTACGGCAGAAAGCGAAGAAAAACTAAAGAGCCTCTTCATGAAAGTGGAAGAGGAGTGAAAAAACTGACTTAAAACTCAACACTCAAAAAACTAAAATCATGGCATCTGGTCCCATCACTTCGTGGCAAATAGATGAGGGAACAGTGACAGACTTTATGTTCTTCGGCTCCAAAATCACTGTGGATGGCGACTGCAGCCATGAAATTAAAAGATGCTTGCTCCTTGCAAGGAAAGCTATGACAAAGCCAGCGTATTAAAAAGCAGAGACATCACTTTGCTGACAAAGGTCCATCTAGTCAAAGCTATGGTTTTTCCAGCAGTCATGTACCAATGTGAGAGCTGGACCATAAAGAAGGCTGAGCACCGAAGAACTGACTCTTTCAAACTGTGGTGCTGGAGAAGACTCTTGAGAGTCCCTGGGACAGCATGGAGATTAAACCAGTCAATCCTAAAGGAAATCAACCCTTTCCTTTAGATAGGTCGGATAGCATCACTGCCTGAGTGGTCATGTGTTTGAGTAAACTCTGGGAGATGGTGAAGGACAGGGAAGCCTGGCATGCTGCAGTCCATGGGGTCAAAGAGAGTCAGATACGACTGAGCGACTGAACAACAATTAAGAGATACAGAAATGGAAAAGGACCCCCGGTGTCTTCATAAGTCACACAGCATTTAGTCTTTTATTCCATCCTGAGGATCACATTTTAAGAACACTACACTGAAATGGCATCACCGACTCGATGGACATGGGTTTGGGTAAACTCCGGGAGTGGGTGATGAACAGGGAGGCCTGGGGTGCTGCGGTTCACCGGGTCACAAAGAGTGGGACATGACTGAGCGACTGAACTGAATTGAACACTGAAAAACTGGAATGCCTCCAATGGAAAACAATCAGGACGGCAAAGGATCTGGAAACAACAGTACAGAAGATGAGGAAAAGGAACGGGGGAGAAATCAGTGAGGGCAAGTCTTGGTGGACAAGTCTTACAAGGGAAGAAACTTCCCTTCAGTAAATTCTGTCCACAAATGTATCACACCTCCTGAAAACACAGATCGACTAATGAGCTCATCAGAGAGCACCGTTAGTGACTTCGGACACATTCCAGTTCTGACTGGAGAAACACCTCTCCACCCAAGGCACAAGGACATCCGTCTTCATCTAAGCCAGTTCTAGAAAGGAGAGCCAAGAGTCCACAGAATTCAGCTGAGTGATTGTTTGCATATGCAATTGAAAAGTCACGGGGATCATTTTATAGAACTATGCCTTTTGTTGTTATTGCCATTCTGAAAAGCTGCTCAGATACAAAAAGTTAGTATTCACCAGTTTCACAAAATTTCACTTCATTCAGAATCACTTCGGTTTCTTTTTTAATGGTCTAGAAAATTTTATCAATAAATCTCCTCAGCCTTGAAATTAATTTCAAATACTTTTAAATATGCATTAAATTACAAAGCTAAATATCAATACTTTGAACATGTGTTTGCTTTTTGCTAAATATAGCTATATTTGCCACTCGTATGCAGTAATTAATAGAAAACAGGACCAGATATTAAAAAAAATTTGTTTTTCTTTTATTTTTCGGTCCTACCACACAGCATGTGGGATAGTAGATCCCTGACCAAGGATCGAACCCATGCCCCCTGCAGTGGAAGTGCAGAGTCTTAATTACTGGACCTCCAGGGAAGTATCCAGATCTAAAATGAGAAGATAGATTCTTATTCTGGGATCCACAAGAGCTATACGGGGGACTATATAAATTATATTCAATTTTTCAAAACAAGACTCATTTCCCCACATTAATACACAAACTCATTAGTTTTCACTAAAACCAAAGATTTTCTTGGTTTTAATTTGAACTCTACCAACTCAACTCATTTTGGTTATACTTTATCTCATGAAGAGCAAAAGCTCTGACAAGTGGTAGAGAAATCACAATTTTAAAAAAGAAAAAGTCATTGTTTTGAAATGTACCTCAAAAATGTGCTGTACACTGCATGACTGTGGGGAGAAGATAATAAAAAGGAGAAAAAGTTGAGGAACACTCAACTAGATACTTAAAAAAAATTCTAATTTCATTGATGATGATACTAGTAGTTCACCTTTAGGAATGTTATCACATTTAATTCTGCTAACACTTTGAGATAAGCTCTATTATAACTACTCTTACAAGCCAAGGTTTAAACATATCTATTTGGCTTAAATTGTGAAATTACACTGCCTCTGAATAATAACTACTGTTAAGAATAAGTTAATCTGGTATTGAAGAGCTGGTTGATGCAAACTTGAAAGCATTAGTAATATGTATAAAAGACTTTATAGACTAAATTCCTTATCAATACAGTTTATTACTTTATCATTGTACAACAAAAAGTCAAGTTGACTTTTTCTCTGTAGCTATTCACTGAAATGGCTTCTCCATTATCACTATACTGGTATCACCCCTGTTAAGGCCTCCAATAATAAACTCTCAATTTCTAAATCCAAAGGATTATTTTCATTTTATCTTTCTTGTCCTTATGACATATCAGACCCAACTGACTACTGTAGTTTCTCTTTCCTTGGACAACACTCTCAATTTTATTAGTTTCTTTCCTTTCTCAGTTTCTTTCAGCAACTGAACCCTCTTTCTCCTCTCCTGAATCCATAAATGCAGGGGTCCCCCCACATGCAATCTGGACTTTTTTTAAAAAGGGAATTTACTAAATTGATTTGTTCCCAATACATATTAGCAAAAACCTCTGTGCATTTAGATTAAGGAATTTTTAACATTTTAATCCACAATGCTAAACTATAAGCATCATGAGTAGATTTCGTCTGTTTTTGCACTCCACAGCATAAAACACTCAGTGTTTGCTGAATAAATGAAAGCTACCTCTGGTGTAACCTAAAACTAAACCTAAAACTAACATCTCATTGGAGGAGCTAGTAACTAAAATCGTGCTCTTTTTTTCTCTTTTTACTCTGTGCTGAACTTCCTGGCAGGAACCACCTCCTCAATCCCCAGGGACCTAAAACAGGTCCACTCAGTGCACAGGCAATCCTTAAGTTCTCTAAAACAAGACTCATCTCTCAAGGTCCAAGGTCCCTTTCACCTAATTCTCCCCCAAAAAACATGTCAGCAGGGAGAGGCATGACACTTCTGCTAGGGATGGTACATGATACGGGATCATTTATTTTCAGACAGAATTAAGTGAAAGAGTCTTCAACTAATCAGAAAAAAGTTGAGTGGAAGGGTTTAAAAAGTTTAAAGAGATGACTCTCAAAAGCATCTAATTATAAAATATTTTTTCTCCAAATCAAAGTTAAGTCTTTTGCTTAAGGTATATTATATAGTTATTAAAGAAATTTGTAATGATTTGAATACTACTTAAAAGATCAGACTAATCTGGAACTTGTTAGAATCTAAAATCCACAGGTAAAGCATCTTAGATTACAATCACTCAAAGAGCAGGCAATGTTGCTACTCATGTAAGCTAAGTTCCCTAAACCAATCCTCATCATAAATTCAGAGGAGTCCAGTATGACAGCTTATAAGCTTCCCATGAAAGACTGATATTTTATCAGTTTGCGCTGGAAGTCTTATTACAAATGGACTCTTCCCAGATTCGTCTCACCACATCCCCTGGGCTCACACCCACATTGCTCCCCACCCCACAAAACAAAACAAAAGAGACAAGCAAAGTTTTAAAACCCAAAACTTAGTCTTGTCCATATACCAAAAACTTAACCTTGTGCATAATAAATAATAATAAATTAAAAATCGTTCCTCTTGTAGGAGAAAACTAAAACATAGCTTGCAAAGATAACCTGTACATCTTTTGTACATGCAAGCAGACATACAAGGCACGTCAAACCCAGATCCATTTTGGCAAATTCCCTCCAGGGCCCAACTGTGTGTATTATGCAACAGCCACCATTCCAGGCTTTAATCCCTGTCTGTGATGCAGTGATAAAATACAAATGGCCAGAGTATACCCTACTAGGAACTTAAGTGTATTTGTGAGGAGATAAATTAAAAACAAGAACTACCAAATTCTCATGACCCTTGAAAAAGACGGTATGTGTAACAGTTCTGAATCACAATACAACTTTTCCTTTGGGTAATCTTTTAGCAACCTGCCCCTATCCCACTCAAGAATCCTCACACGAGAACGTTTTGTTTGAGGTTTTGAAAGGATATCCCAAAAGAGGAAGGGGTCGCGGTTAATTGTGAAACTACCCCAGATAAGACAGTCAGACCAACTTCCAGAAGCTGAAAAGCCAGTGAGATACTTCATCTGAAGTAAATGGAACCCAAAGCCCTGAGCCATAAACAAGCCAAAGCTTCACCCACTGATTTCTTAGGGCACAGGCCTCGAAAATGGCACAATGGGCAGCTAAGAACTAGAACAAAATTGCCACGACCTGTATTTTAGAAGGGAATCTATACAATACCTAGTCCAAAGTGGTTACAGGCAAGGGAGATGGTCAGAGCATCCATGGAGGCCACCTGCGTGGCGGAACCGGAACGCTTCCGCCGCCCCTCCCCCACCCCCACCCGCCACCAGGTCCGCTTCCCCCAGGCCGAGGCCAGCGACCCGGACTGAAAGGCTCCAGGTGGGAAGGCTGGAAGGGAGCAGGCTAGGCAGGCAGCAGCTGGGGAGCGGGCCGAGGCGGGCGGGCGGGCGGGGGAAGGAGAAGGAGAAGGAGGCATTCCCTTACACAAAATGGTGGCGCTGGCGCGGAGGCCGAAGCACCTGGGGGCGCACCACACGCCCCTCGGAGGAGCCGGCCAGTCGCCCGCAGCTGGACGCGCGCCCCGAGCCCAGGCGGCCGCCGTGGGCCTGCGCCGCGCCCGAGCCCTCGAGGAGGCCCGCAGCTCGTGCCCGCGTCACTACCCGCGGCTGTGCGGGGCCAAGCCGGCGGGGCGCGAGGCCGGACCCAGCAGCTTCGGCCTGGGCCCGGGACCCCCCGCCCGGGACGGGCCGCGCACTCACCTCGGACGCGCCGCCGGAGCCGCCGGAGGAGCCCGGAAAAGGAGGCGGAGCCGCGGGAATGAATGGAGCCGGCGGCGGCTCGCCGGCGACCCCCGGCCGGGCCCGCGCCGCGCCGCTCGCGGCTGCCGGGGCGAGTGCGGCCGCCTGCCCGCCACCCGGGACACCCGGCTCCTGGTCGGCGGGCCGGCCGCAGCCCACCGTGCCCTCCGCCGGCGTGACGCACTCGCGCCGCAGCGCCTCCAGCCTCTGCGGCCGCGCGGCGCTCGCGCCCACCACGAATCCCCCCGCCCGCCCGAGACGCGCGGCCCCTCCTCGGCGCCCGGGACGCCGCCCTGCCTCCGGCTCGGCTCGCGGGTCTCGCGGGCGCCGGGCAGGTGTGGGCTCGGCCGGCCGGGGGGCGCCCCGCGGCCCCCGCCCCGCCCCCGCGGCCCCTCTCCCCGCCCCGGCTGCCGTCGCTAGGCAGAGAGCGACGCCGCAGCTCAGGCGCTGGCCCGGTATTAAAGAGTGACCTTGGCTTAGCTATAAAAATAGGTGAGGGTAAGCCGCGGGGACCTGGACGCTGAATGTGCGTATTCCTTGACTGTCAACATTCGCGGACGCCCGTCTGCACTCCCCGGGGAGTTTTCCTCCAGCGAGGGGCGGGACCTCCGGGAATTTACCCAGGGTGGGCGAGGCCAGCCGACCTCGGGCCGGGATGCAGAGAGCGCGGGTGAGGACCACTGGCATCCGTCCGGCACCTCCCTCTTAAATCCACTGCCACGCTGGAAGATGGAAGCAGAAAGGAGGTAGAGAGCCCCATTCACAATCTGGAAAAGCCCAATCTGGACAAGACAAGACTTCCATTTTGAGATTACCAGGAACCACCAGATTCCTGCGTTGACCTTTTCTCTTTTCTCAGCCTAGCACACGCAAACTATCCCCAGGCGAACGGCGGCTCCACCCTCCTCTCCTCCCCTTCCTCTCCCAACGTAGTTCATCTGCCTTAGCGCCCAGGGCCCTTTTGCTAATTACACTCTCTTGGAAGGGAGATAAGCGTTCAAGTATTTAAAGCATGATACATTTCTTTAAAGTAATGCAGGCCATGGTTTAAATATGTTTAATAAATGAGTTGAGGAATAGTATTGTGTCAATCCGTAATCTCTGGAAAATAAGCTCACCATTCAAGAGCTGCGGCATTGTTTTTAGCTCATCCAATAGGTTTGAAATTGCTTCTTTAATTCCTCGGAAATATTAAGCAATCGCAGTTCCAGCCTTTCATGAATCTACTAATGATCCACGAAGCCAATAAATACTTTAAAGAACACTTGTTGATAGATATTTAACTCATCTAGATGTTTTTCACCAAATAGACTTTTCTAGTTGCTCATAAAAATCAATTTCACATCTCTAATGTTTTATTTGTAATATTTAATTAACAGAAATCTTAAATATTATAAAGTATTTACCATTTTTCTGGCCCTTAACACTGAATAAGATTTAATTGAGGAGGAATTTTGAATAGCAGGGTTTTATTCACAGCAAATCTGAAATGAATGAAGTTATATAACTCTTGAATTTGTATTTCTAGAGCTATTTGTAAATCGGAGTCCCCAGGGCAATTCCAAACGATTGCCGCTTTGGCAGGATGTCCTTTTGGCTACCAGGCAACAGGTGTTGAAGGCTTGGGCCTTAGAGTAAAGCTAGCCAATACAACTTTTTATGTTTGAAATGCATGAGTGTGGTTGGATTTCAGCTGTTAACTGTATTCGGTGGCCACTTTTGCATGGGAAGCTATCTTTCAGGTGTCTGACCACACTTTAGTAATCAAAGTCACACTCACCTAGCCCCTAAAAGAGAGAGTCCAGTGGTCCCTCATTCAAGACGCTAAACTCAGCTTTCTGTGGCAAGGATCTTTCCTGCTGAGCCCTGGTGGAGAAGCGCTGTCTCCTTCTCATGAGGAGTGTCAAGTGAGGAAACTCTGGCTTCATTCTCTTTACTTGCAACAAGATAAAGCTCTGAGTGTTTTAAGGGGAAAAAAAAAAATCATTTACTTCCCTCTTTGGCTGAGATACAGATACCTTGCTTCTGTTTTTACCCATATTCTGAAGATCCATGGGTTCTAAGTGGATAAAGAACTGAAAAAATGAGTCTATCAGATTAATATATGCTATAAATCGCTACCAAAATATTTTAAAATATGCTTTGAAGCTTTCGTCTTAAAAAGTTTTGTAGGGAATAAGAGTTCTATAGCTTTGATTCTTGTTGTTGCATATGCTTGCTTCCCTGGTAACTCTGAGGGTAACAAATCTGCCTGCAATGCAAGAGTGAAAGTGAAGTCTCTTAGTCCTGTCTGACTCTTTGCGACCCCATGGATTGTAACCTATCAGGTTACTCTGACCATGGGATTTTCCAGGCAAGAATGCTGGATTGGGTTGCCATTTCCTTCTCCAGGGGATCTTCCTGACCAAGGGATCAAACCCGGGTCTGCTGCATTGCAGGCAGACGCTTTACCATCTGAACCACCAGGGAAGCCCGCAATGCAGGAGACCAGGGTTCAATCCCTGGGTCAGGAAGATCCCCTGGAGCAGAGAATGGCTTACCCATTCCAATATTCTTGCCTGGAGAATTCCATGGACATGGACAGAGGAGCCTGGTGCACTACAATCTATGGGGTCGCAAAGAGTCGGACACGACTAAGCAATTAACACTTTCATGCTTGCTTTAATTATTATTTTGTTAAGTTATAAGCACAAAGAAATATGTTCAGAGTTCTCATTGCATTGTTAGTATATGTCAAAAGGGAAATAAAACCATGGTAAGAAAAACTTGCAACACCTCCAGACTTAGAGGTTGCTGATATAAATGACCCAGAAAAGGGCCCTTAAATTGTATTAGAAAAGAGAAATTCCTAATGGCTAAAATAATGGCGAATGTTTTTAATTGTTAGCAAGCTGCAAGGCACTCTACTAACTTTTTTGTAGAAATCAGCTCATTTAATTCTCATAACCATCCTTTGAGGGACATACTAATGTTATCCCCAGTTTATCGACAGGAAAATTGAGGCACACAAAGAAGTTAAGTGATTTCCTCAGGGTCACAAATCTAATAATCCTGGCAGTTGGCTCCAGAGCACACTCCCTTAATCAGTGTTTCATACCACCTTTCATGGATACAAAATCTTATGCCATATGATTGAATTTTGCTTTTGAAGCCCTAAAACATACCATACTTAGATGCAGTAGTATTTTCCTGGACATGAAGAGGAAATTAAATCCTTAGTTAGAAAACTTGTAAGACTTCCTCACATATATATTAAGCAAAATTATATAATCTGTTAGTTTTTGAAAAGCCAAAAAAAAAACACCAACTTTCCACATCTTTTAAGGGTAATTGCTCTCCAAGTTTTTTTTCTCCCAAATTCCTGAGAACAGTTATACTTTTGATTTATATATTTATTTAGTGAATGGAAGAAAAGATTCACCACCATCTCTGACCCTCCACTAGGCTTAACTGGCAGAATTGTTACCAAGTCCAAGTTCGCTCTGCTTGCAACTCCATAGGCCAATGAATCCGAGAGAGGAGGTATTGAGGAAAGGAAAAGACTTTAATCAGGGAGCCTGGAGACCAAGAAGAAGGCAGGCTAGCGCCTGAAAATAACCATCTTATGGCATCTGGATACCAGGTTCTGTTATGGATCAGAGATGAGGGGAGGTGAGGAAGCAAAGGAAAAAGGCCATTAATCTTGTAAACATTTAGAATGGCAAGCCTCAGGCAGGGGATGTGTTAATTTCTTCCTTCCTGCCATCCAAAGGTGAACAGGGTTCTGAACAGGGGTACTTTAACAGTCAGGCAGAGGGGCAGGATTCCCTGAGCAAACCATTCTGTATGAGTATAATAACAAAAACAAGGAAAAGCAAGTTAAAGAAACAGTTCCAACATAGAGTCAGAATTGGCTTCCTCCCTGCAACAGAATTAGGGTCCAGTATATACAATATACATTTTTAAATTCATAAAATTACAGTGAAAAAGCTCTCATGACTAAGGTAGCCTAGGAACCTCTAGATCTAAAATACTAGCCAACTAGTTAACCAGTTAGCTAATAGTGACAGCCATGGAAAAGGGGAAGCGGAAAGGTAATCTATTCATCTTTCCTACTCACCCTAGAAGAATGCTTTATTTCTTACCCAAGTATATAAAGTATGTCACAGGAATGCTTTCAGGATTAAAAGCACTATTTTGTCCGGGTTTTCTTTGTCAAACACTACTACTATTTGCAGATTTCAAATTCGTGAATGATACTATGCATTGAGGAAAAATGAACTCGAAGAACAAGAGTAATAACAAGTTTGAGAAGACCAGTTAATTTGTTCTTTTGGTTCAGTTTAATTTAACATGATATATAAGTTAAAGCTCAGAGTATTTGTTAAGTTTAGGCTCAGTTTAAGAGAAAGAAAATGTGATATTTTTCGTATTGTTGCTAAGTCACTCAATCATATCCTACTCTTATGACCCCATGGACAGCTAGGTTTCCCTGTCCTTCACCATCTCCCAGAGCTTGCTCAAACTCATGTCCATCTAGTCGGTGATGCCCTCCAACCGCCTCATCCCCTATCATCCCCTTCTCCTCCTGCCTTCAATCTTTCCCAGCATCAGGGTCTTTTCCGATGAGTTGGCTCTTCGCATCAGGTGGCCAAAATATTGGAGCTTCAGCACTAGTCCTTCCCATGAAAATTCAAGGTTGATTTCCTTTAGGATCTTAAAGCAAGGTTTATCCCCTTGCTGTCCAGGGGATCTGAAGAATCTTCTCCAGGAACACCACAGTTTGAAAGCATCAGTCCTTCACTGTTCAGCCTTCTTTATGGTCTAACTCTCACATCTATACATGACTACTGGATAAACCTTAACTTTGAATAACTTTTTAAGCAAAATAATGTCTCTGATTTTTAATACCCTGTCTAGGTTTGTCATAGCTTTTCTTCCAAGGAGCAAAAGTGTTTTTTAATTTCATGGTTGCACTTACTGTCCGCAGGACGTTGGAGCCCAAGAAAATGAAGTCTGTTGCTGTTTCCATTGTTTCCCCACCTATTTGCCATGAAGTGATGGGACTGGATGCCATGATCTTAGTTTTTTGAATGCTGAGTTTTAACCCAGTGCTTTCACTAAAGAAAAATTACACATTTATACTCGTGGCATATACAACAAGTTGCCTAGTTAATATCTATTTTCCCTTTTTCTCTGTCAGGTCTAATTTCGTTCAGGGTGGTCATGTGTCCAGCCAAAGCTATTTTCCTTTCCAGACTCCTCTTGCAGCTTATGATCATTTTGGCCAATGAAATGTAACAGAAGATTACTTGGTATGGCTTCCAAGAAAGGTTTTGTTTTAGTGGTAAAAGACACACCAAGTGATCCCTTTGCTTTTTGCCATTTGTACTTTTTATTCTTCCTGCTTGGAAGAAGGACTTATCCCTGGGCTGAGAGCAGCCATCTTGTAACCAAGAGAATGAAACCCGTGTATTAACTGTGCCAGAGCCAAGAGATAGGGACACGGGATGATGACATCGAGAGCTACCACAGCAATCCCAGACTGCTCTAGTCTTCTCGGTTACTCGACAACAAATGCAGTCCTCACTAAAATTCAAAGTTAAACACTATCTCCTTGCTATGGCTAGAAGCAGAGAACACTCTTCTATACTATGTATACAGTACAAATAGATGCTTTTCTTTGATTTTGCTGCTGTCTTAAGGAA